GGAAGGAAGGAAGGGAGGAAGGGGAAGAGAAGGAAGGAAGGGAGGAAGAAAGGGAGGGAGGAAGGAAGGGGAGGTGCAAATAGCTTGCGGACAGCTTCGCCGGGAGGGAGCGAGACAGCATGCTGGACGGAGGGGAAACCGTGGAAATAGCTTGGGGAGAGCTTCGCTGGGAGGGAGCGAGACAGCATGCTGGACTCAGAGGCTTTGACACAGAGAAGTCGTTTGCACAAAACAAAACCTTGCTTCTGTGTAAAACGTCCTCTGTGCGTAAAAGTCTCTGTAGAGCTGAAAAAATGAATTTTGCAGTGAATGCGCCCATAATATTCATCTTCCAAAAAGGTGCTGGCAAGAGGCGAAAGGGAAATAAACCAATTATTACTCGAATTTGTTTGCTGTCGTTTTGCTTTTGGGTTCTCAGGCCCCCCCTTGTTTGTAGGGTCGAGTTTGGAAGTTATTTCTTGTCTAAAACGCTGGTTCGTTGGAACCCTTCAATTCCTTGACAAATCCGCCGCCAAAACCAGCCGTGTTTTGGTTGATGTCGGACTGCCAGTCAATAAGAAGTATATTTTGAAGATATACTGATATACAGTATTAAGTAAGTCTCACAAGAATTCTTGGTTGCTTCGTGAAAGCATAAGGAATGTACCGGGAATAGGCAATTCTTAGACTCGACACTTCGTCCACTGTCCTGAGGCATGGCAGGACAAATTGGCTGTAGAAGCGCTCCAGGACCAAGAGGTCGGCTCAGGGTAATGCAAGGAGAAACTGAATTTCTCAAAACATGATTTGAACATTTCTCAAATGCATTTTAAAATAGTTTAAAGCATATTGGGGTGCAAAGTGTGCGTCCGTCATGGATCAAAATGATCAGGATTACTTTGCGGATTGCTAGCGGATTTGTTGGAGAAATTCAAAATGTGAGGTGCAACAATCACACGTCGATTTTGCCACGCTACTCACGTCGGGATCCTTTGGGATCCACAATGAGGTTAGCTATCGCAATGAGCGCAATGAGCAAACCACAGCACGCAGTGGTCGCAGTGGTTCCCATCGACCGAGCAGTACAAGCAGGCACGACCGTGTGACACTTTGAAGTTATGAGGAAGGGATAGAAAGGGGTCAGAGGTTTCCAGATCTCTTCCAGCACGCATAAGGCGCTATCTTCTACTACTATGCCAAGTTGTAAGAGCTTGTCACTAGCTTGTCACTAGCTTGTCACTAGCTTGTCACTAGAAGCCATACTTCAAGGAGGCTGCCCTGCAACAAGACTCTTGGCAGGGACATGTACCTTGATGGACCTCCACTCTCACAGTGCAGAACTCAACTCACGGTGCAAGTTGAGGTATCTCTGCACCTTCACTATCCTTCACTGCTTGTATCATTTTGTATCACACCGTATTGCGACTTCACAGAGAGAATCAGAAAGACAACCGCAGATAAGACAAGCAATTTGTCTCATATTGAAGCTAGTGTCCACAGAATGATACGAGGTTGGACTCTCTGTTGAGTCCTCTTGATTATCATACTGGTAAGATGGGAATCACATGTGCGGTCCTTCGGGCAATTTGTTATGGAGCTGGCAATATCTGTGACATGTATGTTCGATCAACCATTCTGTGTTCAGACCATTTCATTCTGCTCTTGTTTTTGGACACGAGAGATTATAAACAGAACAAGATTCTGTATGTACTGTGTACTGGGGTATGTTTGTGCATACACTCCTGGGACGATCTGTTTGTGCATACTGGAACCATATTCTGTCATATCTTGTGTAAGGCTGCGAATGAAGAACGACGAGGAGCAGCGACAGATTCAGGACGCCGATCGGGAGCAGCACCACATAGATGTTGATGATGTTGCGTTGGAACGCGGTTGACGGATTAAAACAGCAAAAACAATCCGGTGTCACGATCTATCATGGCTATAACGGCGATGACCTCCGGATTTCTCCAAGGAGGTTGCAATGCGAACTGGAGATGCGTTGGGGAGCCAAGTTCTGAACCTCACGAAGGCCGAATTTTTGAAGTGCAAAATGTACCGGAAGGGTTGGCGCAGACAGGATTGAAAGCTGTGGTCCAAGCGCTCACAGATGAACTGGATGTATCTTCGAGTATTTTAAAGTTAGTTTGTTGGCGAGAGTTTGAAGATTGTTTTTGGATTTGGACCAAGGAGCGGTCAAGGGCCAATCGTGCCAGCGCAGGGCCTTGAACAATTAGACGCGCAGGAGAAAGCAGAGGCAGCCCTGCTTCGGGTTGGAGACTTGCAAATCAGATTTGATGAAGGTTTGTACGCATATGTATGGCACAACTACGAGCATTGTAGTTTCTGTCCAGGAGGCATTGAAAGGAACATGTTGGAACATGTTTGATTGTATATACCATGATCCTATTTCAAATCAGTATTTGTTTCAACCCACGGCTCCGTCAATGAAGACATACTGGCACCGAAATGAGGCAAACAGCCATCAGTCTTGCTGTGTCGCAGGCAGCCTTAGAAGCAGCACTCTACACTAGCAAGGCATGGCAGTGAAGCCGTGCATTGTTCCTCGCAGTTTGAAACAAGGTTTGGGCCTTTTGGGCTTTTTGGCCATGCGACTCATTACTGTGCGATATCCAGTGAACCCAGTGCCATCCAGTGCCATCCAGTGCCACAACCGGGTGACCGTTACATAGTCCAAGCTGTCCAAGCTTCAGGTCGGCGGGTTGCCACCGGGATGGGAGGAGTACGTCTCTGAGGAGCATGGAGGCCACGGAACCGAGGCCTATCCCCAAAAGCGAAGAATTTGCACAACATTTGCACAACATTCTGGAATCCATTTGAAAGAATTTGTACCGAAAGCAACCCATTCTGGATCCATTTGGAAGGCAGGGCTGCTTTTGGTGTGTTCCCTTCATTAGCCGTATGAGCTGGTTGTCAGCTTCCATCGAGCATGTGAACCAAGGTTTGTAGTTTATACATGTTTATACAGTTTGTACCTTTCACTTCACTGGAACATTTACCAAGAATCATGAAAGAAGAGGGGCTGTTTCCAGTTGAAGTTAAAACTGTTTCACTTTGAATCGACGACCTAAGCACACAGGCGTCAAAGCCCAAATCCAGCTTTTCCTTGAGTGGGAGAGATGGTGTGCTTAAGGAAAATAAAATGTCTTTTGCTCAACACGTGACTAAATGTGACAAATCATTTTGTGCATAGGAATATACTGAGATATTGAGGAGATTTGAGTAGTGCGTATTTCCTTCAAAGCAGCCAGGCCGGATATACTTCGTCTTCTCGCAGACTGGTGTCCTCCCGGCATGGCAATGACACTGCTTAAAGACGACATGGAGCAGAATCACTAGGCATATGGAAAAATGTGGAAAAGGCGAACTCTGTTTACATGAACTTATCATAGCTTATCGATACTTATTGATACTTATGGCATGTATGGAGCAGTTCTGATTAGATTTAGGTTCTTTACATTGAGCCATTCAATGGTATGTTGGATGACCTTCAATAGGATTGGATTCAGAGTCTACCAAGTGCAATGCCTTGGCAACGGTCCAGGAAGCCAACAGTTTCACTGAACCCAATAAGACATAATACGAGGGACTGCTTGGTGCAGCATCTTAGCACGATAGCTGCATGACGAGTGAACCCAGAAGAACAAATGAAGAGGAAACTTTTCTCCTTGCGTGGGTCGGGGAGGATGCAACTTCAGAATCAAAAAAGATCTGGCTACTGATGCTACTGTCTCGGAGACTGTTTTTTGAACATTTTTGAAGCAGTGCGGGATTCGCTTAATTTTCACACGGATGCCGGATGCGTTTGAATGTTGAAGTAAATGATGTTGAAGATGTTGAAGATGTTGAACACGTTGACGCAGCATGCATTGCATCGACGCTGCCAGGACACCACCTGGGAACGCCCAACACTCCTTCCAGATGGCACTGTGCAGTTCTTCCCGACCGAGGACTGAAAGCTGTCGCAGCCGGTCGCACAAGGAAAACAGCTGTTCTCTGTACATTCTCTGTACAGCAGTTCTTGCAGTGGGGTCATGTTTGGCGGAATGGCACTTTACGATGACATATCAAACTTCTCGCTGTGCGGCACTGCGACCTGTATCGAGCTGTTGCTGCAGGATTCCTCACCAACTGGATCCTTGCTAAGAATTAGATTAGTGGGTTCCTGTGCTGCTTTGGATTAGATTGGATGCATTTGGAATCCATTTTGATATCCAAAACAAGACAGGAATTTTGTGAGCTCACCCCAGATAATGTGGTGGGTTCAGCATACAGCATATTCAGCAGTTTTCACTCACCAGCTTCCATTTCCAGACTTGTGGAACTTGTGAAGCAAATTGCGCAGGGATTTCTATGGACATGGTTGCGATAGCATGATTTCTCGTCATTTGAGTATAGTGGCATTGCATGTTGCATGAAGTAGCTTCTGCATAATTTGGCGATACAAGTGCACAATGCAGTACACAGGGCACATAGGCTTTTGCAATTAGATGATTTGGCTTCTGGTAAACTCTGGTCACACTTGTTCACCATCGGATCATCGGCTGAAAGACCAAGGGTTTGTCGGCCTTTGTCGCCTTTGTTCATCTCATGGCAGCTCAGGTAGCAAACTGCCACCTGCACCTGATCTGCGAGGCTCTGCCGTTTGAAAATGCCCATCTCAAGGTTTGCAGCGAAAGCTGGCAATGATTTTCCATAAGATCAATGTTTCATGTCACACTGCAATGATCGATGCTTGCTTTATCTTACTCTTTTTGATTCTTGGGCAGTTGCGGGTGTCTTAGTGTCTTATTTTATTGGTGCTTTTTGGCGCTTTTTTGCGAATATCTCACTCGATAGAGTCTCTCCTAAGTCTCTCCCCGCAGCGCAGGCAAAGGCAAGCTAGGTTCTTTGCGGAAAGCTGCAAAAACCTTCCAGCCAGATGACGGAGTTCCCAGCACAAAAGATGCTAAGTTTGTGTCACTTTGAATGGGCTCATTTGAAGCACCTTCAATATGTATTGAGATCTTTTTGCGTCTATGACTTTACACAAGGGTAGCCTGTAAAGCAACATCAAGATGGGGCTGGCAAGAGTAACAATTCTCAGCGGGACATGCTTAGCTAGTTGGAAGGCATCCTGCCGTCTGTGCCAGTAGTCTGCGGTTCAAAGGAATCGCATGGCTAAGTTCAGAGATTAAAGTTAAGATGGCTAGGTCTTCAATAGCAAGAGTGAAAGAGGTGATGTGGCTCCATTCCCTGTTGAGTCTGAAGACCTTTAACAAGTAACCTATCATGCCAAAAAGTATGTTTTGTGTGATGAGAAGTGTCATGGAACCAGTGCACTTCTTGGCACTAAAGGCCTATGGATCTCTTGGACATAAGACGTAAGGAAGCAATTCTCCTGGAAGTCGACGTGAAATGTCCAAACCGTCCGTGGATATCAAATGGAAATCCCATGGACATCATTAGATATTATATACGTATATATATATATATATGATATACATGTATACACAGATAGACAGATATTCACAATTGAATATTAATATTCCTGCTTGTTCCACCAACGAAGTTGTTGGCACTATTGGTTTTCTGAGGCAGAGACCGCAATGCCAATGGCGTCAAGGAGGACTCCATTTGCCTGTTCGATATGTGCTCCGTCTAAGTCGCCCAGTGGGTCCCAGTAGGTCCCAGTTCAGTTTTCTCCACATTCTCCACCGATGTCTCCAGATTGCGTTTCCCATCACTGTCATTAATGGGTTATTAGTTATTACATGTCATTACTCACTTGTCCAAGCAGAAAAGATGGGGCAGGGAGAAGTCGAAGACGCTGGGTTTCACATTACTTTCAGGAGCGAAGGGATGCATGGAGCTTGCCCAGGCCGATATGTTTGGTGAGTTTGAAAGGAAGAGCTTCTGAGAGGAAGTTGCAAAAGTATTGCAAACGTGTGATTTGCTGTGCGTTTTGTTTGGTCATAGCAGTCATAGTTTCGTTTGGTGAGGAGCTGCATGCGCAAGACCATGTAAGACATCATAAGACCGTCAAAGGCAACACTTGCACAAGCTCAAAGGTGACAGTTTTCAAAACGACCTCACGTGGCATTCACAAGACATTCACATGCAGGCAGCGACGACGAACCCGAGAATGAATGGATGCCCATGGAAAGAGAAAGAGAGGCAGAGATCCATGCGACTGGATGGGAAGCCCATTTGTTGGTCTCATGCATTGCAAAAGTTTGGACGTGTGGAACTGTGTGACGGAAACATGAATAAAGAACAATAAAGAATGATAAAGGATTATAGTGTTGTGATATGGTGTGATTGTAATCTCGCAATATCAATATTTCGCATATTGACCAAAGATTTGCACAGTCTGAAACTTGCGGAGGTTCCTGCCAGCCGCCGCTTGCCTCTGCAACGTGAAGTCCTTCATGGAGCTCCTGAACCAGAGCGGACGCCCAGAGATTTCGATGTAATACAATGTCGTCATACGATGTCGTCACACGATGTCGTCATACGATGTCGTCATACGATGTCGTCATACGATCTCTTAATCGTTGGAAGACGGTTCAGGATACTGAGACGCAGCTGCTTCAACGCTTGGGTCATGGAGAGTTCGTGATGAGTTGTTGGCATCGCTTGGCACTAGTGTTGAGACTACTGATCCTGTGGTTCCCACCATATCACTGAACATAAAGTCTTCCGAAGATTCTGAAGCACTATATGCAGACATTAGACATTGAATGACATTGATAGGATTCAAAAGCACAGTGTACTGAGATGTACTGAGCATACCGTACAGATACAGTCTGTAAATGTCAGGCCGTTTCCAAGGAGGATACGTCAGGGTCAGAAGCTTGGCAAGTCGAGTCACGCCTAGTCATCTGAACAGCCTTACATTATGCAACTAGACAATGATGATAATTATACAAAATGATAGCATGTATCATCTTGGATCATCTTGTATCCTCTTGTATCCTCTTTGCAGCTGGGTATGCATCTAAACACATCTGCACGTTTGCGTCCGGATCAGCATGTGCCATCATACTTCATAAGTTTCTTGATCAAGATGCACTTTCCATTGCGCCCAGGGAGGATGAGGTGCGGGCAGCAGTCATGGCATCTCTGGAAGCAGCCAAGAACAGCCAGGAGGGGCTGGTTGCATCAGCTTCGGATGAGATTTCTGGAAAAATCAATTGTACATGAGAATCTCTGAGAAGCAAAACCTCTGTTTGTTTCTGACCATTTCTGACCTCTTGTTCAGTGTAAATCAGTTCGCCCCGCTGTGCCGTGTTTCACAAAATCGATGCTGTGAGGAGGTGACCCTTCCAGCTGGATGGGAGATGCAAACCACGTCGCAGCGTTGGTGGGATCAAGTCGTGCAAGAATCGTTTTAGAGCAACTGATCGTGATATTTTGATATTTTGATACACGCCATGTCACGATTGTACAAATTCAAAATGCCCCCCTGCGCCCACAAATTTCAACGGAAAGCAGTCGTGTTGATGAAACTGTGGAAAGTCAAAGGTGTGAGCCTAAAGTAAGTAGCA